ATAGCATATATACATGTAACTATTTTAAATTATTAATAAAGATATAAGCAAGGCCTTACCTTAATACCAAAAAAAAATAAAATAAATAAATAAAAAATTTAAAATTACAAAAATATAAATAAAAGAGTGTTGCTAACTTGCCCTTCTGGTAATATTACTTGCTCACATGACTACTAATTAGCCAATAAAAATAATATACAATTATAAGCAAATTGAATGTTCTTAGTAATATAACTCGATCGCATAACTTATAATTTGCCAATGAAAATCGCAATGCACAAAAAAAAAAAAATTAAAAATTAAAATTTCATTTAACAAAATTTTACAATCAATGCATATATGTCTCTAACTCTAATATTTACTAAATGCCAACTCTAATTAGAAATATTAGTGATTAGTTAATAGAGCTAAATATCCCTGGCTTTAATATGTCTAACCAAACTTGAAAATTTAACATAAATAGAATCTCTTGTAATAAACTTTAGAACTGTCTATATCTACTATATGTTAAACTAATTAAAACCAGTTTTAACATATAAAAATAAGATTAGTTTTAAACTTTACAGTATATATGTATATTATGTATATATGCATGCAATACAATTTAATTTTTGATTGCTCAAGTTTATATATGTCAATACATTTAAAAGATTTAAAGGAATAACCAACCACAATCTATATTTAACATATCTAGCATTATTAAATATATATCTATACAATTGCCTATTACTAATTTGGACAATGCAAGGCATAATAACTTACTTGTTTACATTTTTGACAATGCCTTACACATTTTGAACTACTACTATTAGAGCTATAACTTTGAGCTAACTCATTCTCATTTGAAACTTGATTCATTGAATTTGTAGCACTACGTATATTTTTCTTGTATAGCACTTCACCTTCTGATTTATAACAATTAGATTGATGTTTCTTATGTTGTACATGGATTGGATCACTAACAACTAGATTTTCAATGCTTCCAATATCATCTTGCTGTTTATCTAATTCACCTTTTGTATCTTCAATAAACCTTTCCAAATAGCTGACTAATTCACAAACTTTATTTATCTAAATCACATAATCAAGAGCTTTTTTAGCATAACCCATTCTGAAACTATACTTCTGCTTAGGATCTTGCTTATGTTTAATAATTTACATTTTTCTAACATCTAAGATATGATTAAATAATAAGGGTTGACAAAGAAGCTGACTTAATATATTTTCAACAATTTGATATATTGGAACTAAGAAATGAATTTGTTAATCGATTCTGCTTTTTTTATTATTATATCACTATTGTGAAATAAGGATAATATGAAAATATGCATTCTTAGAATAAGACATAACTCTGAAAAATGTTTACAAACAATGTCCTGATTAATAAGCCAAAGACAAGTACACAGATGAGACCTGTTATCAAGCAAAATGACAAATTGGAACATTGCCTGCAAAGATCAATGCCTAGTTACTTTTCACACTTCTTAAATACTTTTAGATAATATATGTCTAATCAATAAAGCAAATAGAGCTTATAGTTGGTCATAATTATCTTCTCTATCTATTTTCAATTTATACAAATTATCTGTTTTCTAAGAAAAAAAATATATATAATTAATCTAATCGATTACGCTTAACCAAAAAAGAAAAACATAAGATTTTTAAATTTCTTTTTCAGCATTCATGTATGTATATATGTATATACATACTATTTTTATAACTATACTGCATATTGATACTACATATATAAACATTACATTAATGTGTCTTACCTCTAACAATATAGACTAATTATCAACCAAAGAAATATTGTAACAAAGTAATTAAAACATTTGATCACTTTGCTTTTGAAATATTTGTGAAGTAAGATATTCTCTCAACAATCTACTCATTTCTGGAAAGTATTTCTCTATTACATTAGGTAACCTTCTAGTTGCTATTTTTTTTTAAATTTATTAACTAATGCTCTTTTCAATTGTTTATCAAATGTTTCTTGAATTTCTTTAACAATGTCTGTTAATTTTGAACATTGATCGAGCTTTTGTTTTACAATTTTGTTGGAACAGTTTGCTCATTGTGTGCTCTGAACTTCTGCAATAAAATATCTGTTTACTGTATAACTGGTCCAACTTTCTTTGCAAGAATATAAGATATATATGAGATATTGTTTACTAGCAGGGTACTTCTCAATGATCTTAGCCTATCTAATCTTGAATTGTTTCTCATATAAGGAATTACACATGGCCAAAAATTTAGATCAGAATAATTCAAATTGATCGTATAATTTGCCTTTTAGATATTTCTTTAAATTCAAATTAATATGAAAGATGCAATGAAAAAGATAGGTCTCATGATAATTATTCTGTATGACTATATAAAAGCAGGATCTGCATCCAAATATATTATTGTTGAGGTAACTGTACAAGCTTCTTTTAACTTTTCTAAAACCCAGGCAAAAGTTGCTTCAGTTTCATTCTCTAATAATGCTATAGCAACTATTAAATTTCAAAAATCATTATCAATAGCTGTAACTATAAATAAGATCATATCAAACTAGTTGGTTTTAGATGTTGTATCAATAATTACAACATCATGAAACCTTTCATAAGCACATATTTGAGCTAAGGACATCCAAAATAATGACATTAACCTTCTTTCATCAGAATCAAATCTTAGCTTTACTATCCATAATAGATCTTTATTCTTCTTTAAATACAAATCAGTTAATGTTTAATATGCATCATCCTTTGGGAGTTTTAGCTGCTTCTTATAGCATTGTATTGCATTGCTTAAGTCCTTTTTATCTATCTTCTTATTAGAAAATGATGCTGCTAGTAGATTATATTGTGCAGTCATACTTAGCCTTCCTTTAATAGTCCAAAACTTAACTTTTTCAAGCATGTCATTAGGTAAATGATAAAATTTTGGTGCTGTTTCTACAATTAACAGGTTCTTAGAATGATTATGTTCATCTATTATACTATTTATTCTAACTCCAAGCACTATTTTAGAAAATAATAAATTCATATGCCAAGAACAACCAACCATTTCAGAGTCTCTTTCTCTTCTATTCTTCATTAGAATGATCTTTTTAGCTTAGTGTATACATGCTTAAGAACATTTATAAGTTTGATGACATGCAATAGTATTATTAGTTAGATCAGTATAACAATGTCATTTACAAAAACAGAACTCTTCTTGTTTAGCACAATCCTCAAGATATGACTTAGTGATTTTCCATATGTTGAATTTCATGCTCATAGTTAATTTTAACACATCTAACTTTGTACTTTCATATTCTATATTATTATTGGATTTCTCTTCATTATGAGTATTAATAACATTGTCAATTTCATTTTTGTAATTATACATGTCTGTGACAATGCTAGGCTCAGAACCATACTGTTGAGCCTCAAGACTCAAATTATCAAATAAAGGAGGAATGAAATAATATTCAAAGAATGAGTATAAATTAGCATTAACCTTCATTTATATACAAGGAAATATTTTATTAAAAAGAACTATAATTAAAATTAAGTTGGAATAATTAGAACACAATGATTGATAACAGACTGATTGAGAAATGTGATCACTAAAGTGAAAATGCCAATTGAGAAAAATGATCAAAAAACTGAAAGTACTAATTGAGAAAAGTGATCAGAAAAACCAAAAATGCCAATTGAGAAAAATGAACAGAAAAACTGAAAGTGCTGCTTGAGAAAAGTAATCAAAAAACTGAAAGTACTAATTGAAAAAATGATCAGAAAACTGAAAGTGCAGATTGAGAAAAGCAATCAGAAGTATAGTATATAAATAATGATTCAGCATTATTAAGTAATAGTAGAAGCTGATCAAAAAATGATCAGAAAATAAAAACAACAACAATTTATTTAGGTTGAATTTTTTTTTTGAGCTATTTGGAAACAACTAGTATATGATAGCAAAAAGAGTAGGACTGATTGAAAAAATGATTAGAAAATAAAGACAACATGATGATTTATTTAAAATGAATCTTTTTTTTTAAGTTATTTAAATATAACAGATAGATGATAGCAGAAAGTTGAATGAAAAGATATAAGCATAAAAGTAAGAATAAAGCAATATCTAAGCAACTAACCAAATTATTTTATTTGATTTATCACTATATAATCATTTGTTATATAATTACTTTCTAAAAAAAAATAATGTTAGCAAGTTAAATAATATAAATTTAACTACTAGTTAAATTTTATATTATTTAATTACTAGTTAAATTTATATTATTTAACTACTGGTTAAATTTATATTATTTAACTACTGGTTAAAATTAGTTATATTCTTTACATTTATAATAAAATTAAAATTTTATATATGTAAGGTGTAATGACCTAGTGAAGTGGTCAGGTTGTCAACTCTCAAGTGGCAGGTTTAGAGTTCATAGATTGGTTAAAATTTTTTTAGATAGTACAAAATTGAAGAATTTGATTAGTTAATTTATATTTTTTTTTTTAAATATTAATAGTGAGGCCATGCCTTTAACTTTATTGAAATTTAATTGAAGTTTTTACAAAGAAAAGCTTGCTTTTAAATTACATAT